CCCCTCGTGTTTGACTTTGTGCTCAGAGAGTAAACAGACACCTGTCCTGACCGTGTCCCTCTCTGCAGCTCTCTGACAAAGTGGACCGGGTGGTCGAGTGTCAGCTGCAGACGCACAATGACAAGATGGTGACCTTCAAGTTCGACCTGGACGGAGATAACCCTGAAGACATCGCGGCGGTCATGGTGGGTCATGAGTGGTGATATCATATTTAGAGCATCAATAATAAAACACTTTGATCCGGTCGAAAGAATGAAGCGTTCTTTTGTTTTCATTGCAGTTATTGGACTCAGTAATGTCGGATTCGATTCTGGTCTCGAGTCTGATCCATGATTTTGACCATTGGAATTCGTTGTAGATCAAATTAAAAGAAATGCAGATAGAGTCTGAAATCTTCAATCATACCAGATCACTGAATAATAACGATGAATTAATAATAATTCAACTTTTCATTTCCCCTTTATCAGCACATCTCTCACATTGTTCGATTTGAGACAGAAGATACTGTAAATTAAAATATAAAATGGGAACGGCAGTCAATTATCCTCCTTATATTCCATTAATACATGGGTGGATTGCAGCCAAACATTTCTTACTGTTCTGATTATTGTAAAGTATAGAGGAGATGCCAGATCTGTCAACATCATATATATCAGAAGGAGGAAAAATATCGCTGAAATTCGGGATTAACATATTTTCTATGGAGATGGAATCTACTAGAAAAATGAGGTCACCGTGTCAGCTGATACGTGGGAGATTCCTGTATCACAGTGGAACGTACACATGATTTATTCTGCCTCTGGTTAACAGTGTTTTTGTTTGTTGAACTGTGGCTGATACTTAATCTAACTCACTGAGAAGTGAGTGACGCAGGTTAACAGCCCTTCCTCCTGTCGTCGTCTCTCAGCTTCATTAGACGTTTGTACGAGAGGGAATGTGATGACGGCGTGATGAGGCAGCATGTGCAGCAGCACTGACTTTACTGTTTTCCCTCACTCTTCCAACAGTGGGCTTTTGTTTACTGAGTCCTGGCACAGTGGGGGTGCTTGGCTTCACAACAGCCCCCGCGGTTAAATGAGTTACGCCATGCTGACAGGAAACGGTCACCACACCCCTGCCCACAATTCACAGCAACAACACTCAGAACTGTATGAATATGCAAAACTCAAAACCTCTGCGTTCAAACTGCTGCATTGATTAACATGAGATGATTTATGTGTTTTTTCCTGAGAATAACGAGCTGATGGCTGTAGGGGTGTGTGTTTCACAGACGGACACACAAATAGACATGCAATAATCTTGGAGACAAAATATTTACTCCAGTCAGTGTAACTAAGTGCAGTTTGAAAGTATTTTTACGATCACTGCTTCACAGACTCGGGCTCCTAATGATGTCAAATATGCAGGATGTTCATTTCTGGGATATTTTAGCTTGATTTTTTGCAATGGGAGGAGAAGGAGACACGTCGTCCCTCTTTACATACCGTCCATGGATAATACTTTACCCAGTCATGTCATATATATGAATGCTTCTTCCTCTGTCCTTTTGTCATCTAGGTGCACAATGAGTACATCCTGCCATCAGAGAAGGAGGGCTTCATCCACCGCATGGGCGACATCATCAAACGGGCAAAGGCTCTGATGAACAAAGACCAGCCGGTCCACGCCAGCGGGCCCCGACTGCCCCAGCCTGCCTTCCACAGCGGGGTAAACTCGCTGTCTTCCTCACAGGTCAGCAGCACCTGCTCCTCTCCAGTAATCCACATCACAGCTTTGTTAGAACAAAGCAGTGTGAGTTTTACTGATCATCATAAATCACATCAGCTATAGTGTTTGTGGCTGTGCTTATCTCAAGCAGACGCATAAATCTGGTGTAAATGCATAGCTGCTGCTGTAGCGATGCTTCCGACACTGAGTGCTTTCCGCAGGGCCCCCCCTGAGACTCGGCCTTAAAGATGGAAGGTTAAGTGTTGTTAAAGCCACCTGAGGCAGCGCTTTGATTTAGAACATAATGTTCCTAAAAGCACCAATGTCATAAAACCCTGTGATTTGTGGAAACGTAGCCAGTACCCTCTTTTTTCCAAAGACACTGTATTTGTTTCCCACAACCACAGATCGTTTCCAGTGCTCACACCATAATGACATTTTCCAGATTATGTGCCCATATTGAGTGGGCAAAATAATTAATGTTGGTTTTAATTAAGTTATAGTTATTATAGTCTTCCAAAAAAAAATAAATAAAAAATGTTGGTTGTTAGGAGCAGTGCCATCCTGTACAAGATATGTCCCAATGCCAAATCAGATACAGTTTGTCCGCCAAAGGGAAAGAAGTGTCTGTTCTGCCAGGATATGTCCCACTCTGAACACAAAGAACAAATCACATTGTGCCCTCGAGTAAAAATAATCCAAGATGTTAGCAGGAGAAAAGAGTTATGTGCAGTTTCACGTAGGACAAGAGACGAGTGAGAGCAGTAAAACTCAACCTTCAACCATTTACCTTGTTCGCTAGGTTTCCGACCCCCTGGCCACTATAATTACCCAGAACCACTTTGGACGGATCTCTCCCGGCCTCTCTCTAGCGCCTGATTAAAAACATTACATGCACCACATCCCGTAAGAACCATTATGGCTGCGCTCCCCAGCACCGTCCTTCCCCCGAAAACCACCCCGAGCTGGTTAAGTCAGGAAGAAACCCACGATCTCACAGACCGGTTGATCGAACTCTGTTCTGTTGAGTTACTACTCTGATTGTTCTGTGTAGAGACGGAGTCTGAAACCTGTTTATCTTCCTCTCGGCTTCTACAGAGCTGGATTAGAGTGGCCACTTAATCAGATTATGGAGACTTTCCATAAAATGACCAACAAAGTGATAATAGTTCTATTAACTGGTTGATAGGATGAGATTTATTATCGGAAACAGCTCTTTACAAATAAATAGAAATCGATTTAATGCAACACGGACAATAAACACATCAACGATAACTGAGGTCAGGTCTCAGGGGGTCATACACCTCATCATTGGAACTCATCCTGTGCTTTAGTGTTTTATACTTAAAGGGACATTGCATGGATTTCACATCAGAGTCTGTGTATGAGGGGACATATCATATCATCATATCATATCTTGTGGTTTTTAGAAGAAGCACTATCAAGTCTTAGAAACAGACAGAAGGCAGCTCTGTAGTAGATTTAGAAACCTAATTTATGGCAGAAGCCTGTTGTTGTAGCTGCAGTGCTAAGCAATGTGAACCCAGCAGACTCCACTCCTGCTTATTCCAGCTGATTCATACTATCCTCACAGGTGAGTTGGACACTGAGCTTTATCAACTGTGCTCTCTTACAGCCTAATCTGCACAGTCAGCCGTTGCCTCGAACACACTCGTCCTCCTCTCTGCCCGGTAAGACCTCACGTCTGCTCTGATTAACTCATTTAACCCATTAAGAGGAAAGTAGATAATCTGATGTTTGAAGAGATTAAAACTAATATGACTCTAGAAATGAATGAATGCATTAAGACCTCGCCCGCTGTGCTTGTTATAGTCATTTCTTGCAAGCCTGAAATTCACCAAATAACATTAATGGCCTAGCATTTGTGTGTTGCATCTATTTTGCTGTGCATGACCATCGTGTGTATGTCTGTGTGTGTGTGTGTGTGTGTGCGCTTTGCCATCATCTCATGCATGTGTGTGTTGTCTCAGACTTCAGTGTGGCTAACCCGAGTGCAGGGGTGCGTGGCTCTCCCCCGTGCCCCAATGGAGACGTCTTCAGTGCAGACGTGACTTCATCTGGGCGACCACTAACACGCTCGCAGTCTTTCCACAACGCCCCAGGTAAATGGCCCTCTGCCCCTCCCCCCTGGTCCCACGTGAAGAGGCCGAGCATTGTTTACTGTTTCAGCACATTGAAATATTCTTACAGTCCTCTGGCACAGAATAAGTCAAAGCAAAGCTCTGGTACCTCATAAACCCCCACTCCCCTCCTCAGGAGGGTGTTCTCTGTATTGTTCTGACATTTGCATGGCGCCATCCGCCATCCCCACACCTCAAAGCCTTCATCTGTCTCTGCCTTGCAGCAGGCCCTCTTGGGTGATTACCTCACCTGAACAGCCCTCTCTAGCTTTTAGGGAGCTGTGAATGCTGTCGCTGTAAACCAGGAGCTTCTCTCCAGCGCTGCCGTAGTCCGCAACATCTGCTTGCCAGCTTTAAACTACTACAGAATTTCCAAGAAAACCTCCCCTCCTCCCTCAAAGCTTCCTTCCCCACAGGAGTAAATTAAAGAACACACATCCTCCATATGTCCCTGTGTCTCACCCTTATCCCCTCTTGTCCTGCGTCCCCTCTTGGCTTGATGTCCACTGCATGGTCACTTCACAATTTGCCTCTTGGCCACCCGCCACCGTTATAGAGTGTTGCCTAACCTGTGTTTCCGTCTGCATGGAAAAATAGTAGAGGCTGGTTTGCATCATCAGCAACAGGAGGTGTGGTTTATAACTGAGGAGCCATTGTTGAGGTAAATGTCAAATCAATGGATGGAGCTGGGACGCTGGCTTCCCTAAAGGAGTGATGCAGAAACCCTGACTGCTTTAATCTCACAGTCGGTCGCAAAAAGATGTTTACACACACGTGTGTTTGATTTAGACTCCTCTGAGATGTCATACAAAAAAAGCCTCACTCGCTCCACTGGTGCAGAAGCCCTCACCGCTATTTTAGTCTAATGTGCAAGTGCTGCGGCTTAAAATTGCAATTATAGTCTGAACAAAATGTCTTTGTTCACCATGGAAACCCATTATTTGAAAGAATAGGAAATATTTATACTCCTTGCGGCAAACGTCTTGGCGGGGGGGTTAACAGTAGAATCAGACTGAGGACAAATGAGTGATCTAACTTGTCCCTCAGGGTCGACTCAGTCCAATATTCCACTGCAACCATGCCTTTCATGAACAAATGAAATGAGGACATTTTGATTTGTTTTGCATGTGTCTGTTTTTACACAGATGATTGACTTCAAAACCACAGATTCAAACTTTTTTGTGTCTTTTCTCCTCAGGTTCTCCGCTTCACTACCAGAACCATCCCAACCCTGCGTCTCTCCTGCCCCACCACCAGCACTACCACTTTCCTTTCATGGGCCACACGCACTTCCCATTTCCGTACCCTGGCTCTCCGGGTTCCCCCAAGCCGGCAGCGCTTCATCCTCCCCTCACACGTGTAGCCAGCAACCCCACCTTCTCTTCTATTCCATCACCCGCCTCCGGGTCCCCTAGTCCTCAGCGAGAGACCCCGAGCCCTGGCAGCAATGAGAGCATCAACATGTCCCCACCTACCCCTCAACATCACAACATGTGGCCCCCCCACACACAGCCCCTGTTTTCTTTGGCTAATGTCATCTCCATGGCCATGAGCATGGCTCAGTCTTTCATCCCTCCTGCGAGCCTGCCCGCCCAGGGGATCCCCTCCTTTCCAGGATATCACCCCCAGCTTCCCACTCACATGACCCCACAGTCAGGTTACCCCTCTGTCTACCAACAACAGTACCAAACTCCGGTAGAGGCTCAGTACCCCCCAGAACAGAGCCATGTCTACCACAGCCCCGAGAAAACACAAATGGATGGAGCTGCTTTTTTTAATCAGAACATTCATCCAGGCTGGTTGCATTCTGTCTCTCCACCTTCCATGGCGTCCACTCCTCCGCCGACTCCTCAGGAGCTTCTGCAACAGGTTGGACTCTCCAGTCCCCCCAGTCTGACCCAGGAGGACAGTCTCCACAGTTATGTGACCCAATACCCAGCACAGGGTCCAGCTCAGGCTAAACCCAAACCACAACTCTCCAGCTCGGACTCCTCGTCCTCCTCCCCATCGCCCCCAGAGAGCCCTGAAAGCACTGTGAGTCGTCATATCTCTTATCCAGGGATTGAATCCGATTTCTAAAGCTTTGTATATGCAAATGTGTTAATTCATTAATCAACAGAATTCTGATGATTGATTAATAGTTTGAGTCATTTGTTAAAGAACAATTCAACATTCACTTCAATCACAGATGTGAAAGTCTTGTAAACTGAATATTTTAATGGTTTTTAAAGTTTCCTGACATTTTACAAGTTTTCCTTTTTTGACATCTCAATGTTTGTCAGAAAAATTATAAATATAAAATCTGCCTGACATCGACACAGTGACTTGATTCAAAGTGGATCCACCATGCTGGGTCAGTGCGATGCAAATAATGCTGTGAATATTTATTCTCCCTGTCCAGTTAACGTCCTTCAGCACCCAGCTGCACCCTCCTGTACCTGAGATGAGTGTCAACATCCCAAAACCAAAGGTCTCTTCCACTGAATCTGGTAAGAATGTCTCCCGCGTCTCAGGGCCATTAACACCCGATGTGATGTGATTCTCAGTGGCCAGCGGCTGGAAGCGTTGCCAAATAACAAGCTGGATGAGGTTCATGTTTTCACCCCAAACAAACCCACACACACGCTTGTGTATATACACAAATGCCCCCACAGCCAAATCTCCTGCGCTCCACTTTATAACGTGTTAGGTCCAAATACAGCCTGATGTTTCTGTCCCGGACAATTTGCCTTTTGAGCTGTTTTCAGTCCCCCTCCGCCCCCGTTTCTCTCTGTCGTCTCCCTGGCGACATTATCATCCATTAGAGGTGCCTCTGGAGCTGTTGCATAAGCGTCTGGATGTAATGTCCCATTCAAAATGAACACAAACGTAGGTGTGATTGTGGCCCTGCCCACCGTCGATGACCAATCGCTGAGCAGAGCTGCTCGTTACTGGCCTCTCCTCCCACATCCACACCTGTCAGTATTTATACCCTCCACACTGAGCACAGAGCCCCTCTGTTGAAGGCTGGCTCGGACCCAGACACGCTCTGTTCACTGTAAGAAGGACACTTAGTGGGCAAAATGAGACACTGCAGGATTTTAAACCCTGAAATTGTCTGCAGATGTGATCTTGTGCACTTTTGAGGTGACGACAGATAAACAACCTCATCACGATCATCAGTTATTATCCCTGCTGTAAATTAAGGCTCTTTAGCAGAAATCTACTGACGGGAGATTATTATTTTAGAAAGTGAGCTGTACTAAAAGAGTACACCCAGTCTATCACAAGACTTACACATAAAACAACCATTCACACTTAAGGGCAGATTAGATTTCTTTGGACTGTGGGAGGAAGCCAGAGAAAGTCCACAAAGGCAGGAGGGGAGAACACACAAACTCCAGACCAGGGTTCAGACCCAGAACCATCTTATTTAGATGTGATTAGACACTGCAGAGGTCCGTAACGGGGCCCCATCAAGCCTTTAAGATGTAAGAAACAAGTTTGAGAGACCTCCGCCAAGACACAACAGATTCACCAAATTAAACGCATTAATAAATATCAGTCCCCGTAACGTGCCAGAGAATTATTCTCCCAAAAATCAAGGAACATGTGGAAAACACCACCACTCACTAAATGTTAAAGGGTCCCTCCCTGAACTACTTCCCATCCTTCCACCGAGGTTCCTGTTGTTGTGTAATCTTACAAACACACGAATGGACGGGGGGGAGGGGAAACCTCACAAACTTCTTTCAAGACCGTGATTAGACTTTAATCAAACTGTGGCCGACAGGTTTGTGTCCTGATGATCAATCAGCTCTGATCAGATTAGAGAACAATCATTGTTCAGCCATTGATTGGCTGTCACTCATATAAAGTCTGTCCAGATGATGTAACTTCTCATTCAAGGACACAACCCATTTCTTAAAAGACATAAATTAGGATCCTAAAACAAGGATTTTTACATATTTTTATTCTAAATGGCTTTAACTGAAACTTTTTTACTCTATGTTCTAGAAGTCCAGTCCACACCAGTGACTGTTGGACGATTCCAGGTGACGCCCAGCATTGACATCCCTGCAGCTGCTGTGTCTGTACCTGCTGCGCTACAGCCTGAGGTCAGCAGCAGCACCACATCAGAGAGCAGCACAGAGGAACAGGGGGAGTCTGAGACCAGCCTGGGCACCTCCCTCACCATGTCGCCTCCTCACCCACATCCTCAGAGAGGGTCGTCGGTTGTCCTCCAGGAGGTCGACAGACAGCCGCCGTGGGCCGGGAGCCAGGAACAGCAGCTGGAGCCGCTGACACAGGACAGAGAAGAGGAGGACGAGGAGGAAGAGGTGGTTGTTGGGGAACGGCAGAGGACAAAGAAGAGGAGTCGGAGGAGAGCGTACAGCCTCAGCCTGTTGGGGACGTCTGTGGACAGCGGCCTCTCAGTGACGGCTGCTGAGATGGAGGGGAGGTCGTGGGACGGTGCGGCGGGCAGCCCGCAGTACACTAATGCCCTTCACCATTTATGGATGATGACTTACAGCCGCAACGCCCCCTACCAGAGCAGCGATGACTCGGACAGTGATGATGAGGAAATGGTGGAGGAGCTTCAGGAACTCAGACAGAAGTAAGAGGCAATGTTCTGATTTTATACAGCACATAAAACAATGTTCACTATTACACGTCATTGTTTTTTAAATATGACCAGACAATCGATTTTTCACTTTAAACTAGTTTATAGACATATTGTTCACGTAAGAAACGTCAAATCTGATTCAGTATTTTCAAAGCTGGAAATTTTAAAAAGCAGCCAGAATCATCTTTTGCATTTTTGTAGCTTTGTTACTCTTCATACATGTTTATTTGCTCAATTAGACAAATACCTACGTTACAGGCTTTGTATTCCCAGACTGAGGGGACTTAGTTATCTGTTGTCTTTTACCAGACATCTGACCGAGGTGCAGGACCTGCAGGCTGCCCAGAAGAAAGAGATCGAGGAGCTGTATGAGCGGATGGGTAAGGTTCCACCTCCAGGCATCGTCTCTCCTGCTGCTATGCTGTCCAGTCGACAGCGGCGCCTGTCGAAGGGGAACGGTTTCCCCTCATCACGCAGGAACAGCCTGCAGCGCTTGGACATATTGCAACTCCAAGGTAAAGAAGAATCTCCAAGAACATCCTCCACTGAATGAGTGACATGAATTAATGTCTAAACGGATGTTAAAGTGTGAGTGTACTGTTTTTGTTTCCCCAGGTATCATTAGGAGAAACTCTCTTGGAGGCAGCAGTAGTGGCTCCCAAGATAAACCCAGCAAAGGGGTCACCTTTGCCACTGACATTAGTAGAATGGTGAGTGTTCACTGCTTAAACACATTTTTCATTCATTTTACTCCCAAATTCTAACTAAAGTCTGACTGTCTGTGTTTTCCATTTAATTTTTCCAGTAAGAAATGCTCAGCTAAGCATGCTGTATATCTGGACTACCTCATCTGTGACTAAAAGTGCTCACACTTGTCCTGAAGGAGGATCACGTGAACACTTTTCACACACCGGCACGCCGATCAACGAGAACCTGCTTCCCTCCGCCAGTGGTCATTTACCTCAAATGTACAGAAACTGTCACCAGTAGCACAGAATCTCCACCGATCTGATCCCGTTCAGGCTTCATTTGTCCTCTCCTTGTAAATAAACCGTCAGAGCCAACGGGTCAGGAGTCACCAGCTTCAGTACAAACCTCCGCAGTAAATGTCCCATCCCACTTTGTTTTAAAGGAGACATATGATGCTGTTACTGTGTTTGTGTGTTATATAGTTTTGTGTGAATGTAAAAGTTTGGAACATTAGAGCATACAGACATTTTCAAATAATAACCCAAATTAAAATGACAACCCTGAATATGAGCCCAATATGTCTCCTTTAAATATTTTCTCTGATCAAGCTTTTCAGTCAAGTGCAGCAGATTTGTGGCGACACAATGACCCTGACCCAGAATCACTGAAAGTTCTCACTGCGCTTCATCGACCTGAGGAGTGACCACAGAGAACCACAGAGAAACTCTGACTCTTACCTTCGTACACAGATGACAATATTTTTAAATAATCTCATATCTGGTGTGGTTAGTTATTGATGTCTCAGCGCAGTAAATATATTTGTCATGTAGTGGAGCTGACTCCTGCCTTCCAGGGGCTGTAACAATAACAGTCACGATGCATTGAACAATTTGATTTATTCAAATGTTTTTTTTGTTGTAGTACGACTTCTTTAGTGGTTTTGACACCTGATAAGAGCAACTGCATTCTCCTTGACTGCAGTTCGGACATTTTCTGATGGAGTGAAGGTGATTTTTCACTTCGTATAGCAGTATATGTAAATACCATGAAGACGTTAATGCTTCATGAAGAAAACTTGTTCAATAGTTATGAATGTTGGCATAAAGCTTCCTTCAAAAGAAAAAATCAGCTTTTTTTAAGGTGCAGAAGCAAAAGGAACATCGCATCAACTTTTAAACAGTATGGAAAGTGTTTCCTCATTGATTTTAGGTTTTAGACTACTGGCTTGTACATGTGTATGTAGTAGAGTGCATTTATATTTCATGTTTACACTTTTAGAGTAAACTAAATGTTTCCGCAACCTTAATTCTTGCTCAAGCAAAGAGAAAAATATTTGCTGCTTGTTTCATGATTCAAGCACCTTGTGCACTTTAGTAAATTCTATTTTAATTCTCAGTCGGACGAGGAAGAGCTGATGTGTTTTCCTTTTATTTTTTTCATGGGGTCGAGGATATTCTCCAGTTTATGTCCGGTCACAGTGAAGATGATCTGCCCTCCTGCAGTTTGAGATACTTGTGCATTTTGTGGGACATGGAGAAATCAGTCCAAGCTGTGAATCAGTAGCTGTTGCCTTAATGAGAAAATCCACGAAACACACTGAATTTTCTCCTGTAAGATTCATAATATATACAAGACATTTCAGAATTTTGATTGTAAATATATAATTGTATTGCTTTTTCCAGAAGCTGCTGTCCTGCCATGCTGAATCTGTGCCTTTCCCTTACAATGTCTTACTTTATATTTGTATTCTCGAGATTTGGTGGCTAGATCAGACAGTGTATCGAACTTTGACAAATAATAAATGCAAATGTAAATACCACTTCTCTTATGTCATCTTTACTGCAAATAGTTAGAGATATAAAAACTCAAATACAATAGATTTTTAATCAAGAAATCGCTCTGTTTGACATAAATAATACAATTCAACAAGTTGATCCATGTGTCGTTTCAGCAGTGTCATTCTTAGCTGTTAAAGCCACTGTAAAGTTAACATTTGCTGACTGGTATATAGTATTTAACCCTCAAACTGTACCCACATCACATGATCACCAGGGCTGGAAACCTGGCAGGTAGCGGTTTTAATTTATCCTCAATCTGGGCCTTTTGTCTAGCACGTAAGGGGTCTTGCTAAGGTCTGGTTATTTAGTCCTTTCCACTGACATCGCATCCAGTTTTAAGTCAGCAGCAGAACTTCACAATCAACATAAAGTCCACTACAGTGTTGTTTCATCATGGAGAAAGAAAAAAAAAACAGCAGCCAGTCGTGGAATATGAATCAGTGGCATCAGTGTCCACCATCAGTCCCTTCTTGGTTAAGTGCAGGACGGACACGCGGTCCAACAACAGGCAGGCAACTCGTGGATTTCAGTTGGCACCGGTCTTCGGCCCCTGCGCTCTCGCGTGTCTGGCCTCTTCATCCATCTCCTCTATGATGTGCTCCTGGGACACTGAGTAAAAAGTGTAGCCGTCTAACGAGGGGGGGCAAGTGGTCAAGGCAAACACGTGGAAGCAGGAAACACAATGATAACAGACATCACAAGGACACAAAGTCAGGTCAGCGTCTCATCACTGCTTCTCATCACAGCAGAGGCTCTAAAGCTGTCATTGTTTTATTTACTCTTTAAAATACCAAAGATACCCATCTTTGTTCTATACTATATCATTTAACACATAGTTTATATATAATGTATACAACTTACGGAGTTTTGAAACTTCCCCCACTCACCACCATGTCGCTGAAGAGTCCACAGAACCCTGTTAGAGTCTCAGGGTTAAACAGCGTTCAGCCGAGTTATCGTTCCATAAACTGCACATTTAAAAAGTTTGATCATTTAAACGTATTCGATCACACGGAGATATTTAAAGCTGAGTAACCGGATGTTCTTTGGCATTTAAGAGTAAACTGGCTCAAACCCTCATTAGCAAGTATGAACTTTCAAGCCAAAGCTAACTGTCACGTTAGCATCATCGTTAGCATTCAGTGAACCACTTTTTACATTCATTCAAACACATCCAGCTATGCATTATGAGTTAGCATTAGCATTAGCCCTCCATATTGAACAACACAGAGGTGGGAGGGGGCCCGCACGGTAACGTTAGCACGCTAAGCTAACGTTACGTAGTTCACCTTGCGTTGACGTTAGCAAGGATACAGATGCCCATGACGAGCGCCCCGATGGCGAGCCCCGTCACCGCGTTCCTCCCCCGCAGCTTCACCGTCTTCTTCTTCCACTGCTCGCGCTCCACCTGCCTGATGAAGTGCATGTGTTCCGGGGAGAGGGGATCCTTGCTCGGGTCTATCCTGGTGGCGTACGGCGCGCCGGACCCGGGCTCCTTCGGCGTCTTGTCGGCCATGTCTGCAGTCACGGTGCGGGGCAGCTCGGACTGTTTCTCGCCGCTCGCACGCATCGCGGAGTTACAAGTGATTGGCCAGGGTCGGCCCCCGTTCAACCCGGATGTGAGAGGCCCATCCGTGTGCTGTGAGATCTGCGCTGGGAGGAACGGGTTTCCGCTACGTCCCGTGTGAGTGTAACACAGCGGTGCCACGTCCAAATGTGTCCCCGTTGTCAGCTCATGGTTCCTAGCAGCAGTTGCAACGAACAGCTCCATCTTCTGGAAAACATGAAACACGGTTTATTTTTATGAAGTTGTTTCTCGACAGAGGTGAAGTTTGAGTTTGTGAAACACTCGTGTGAACAGAAGCGGGTCCAACATGGCGAATAGATTGTTGAGGTTTCGTGAAACCGCAGATGATTTGCTGTCTGACGCTCTCATCGACCTGAACAACAGAAACAAGGACAAGCTCAACAGATTATCACAAGATAACCCGAACTTCAGAGACAAGAGGACCTGTGGTGAGTGAGAGATTCTGTCCGGGGATAACCTCCAAACATCTGCTTAGTTTGAAAGAAGTAAGATACGATGAGACAAGGTAAGGTAAGGTAAGGTTAGACAAGATAAGACAAGATAAGGTAAGGTAAGA